CCCTTCCCCTTCCCCTTCCCCTTCCCCTTGAACCTGCTGCTTAAGTTTTCCTGCCTGCTTTGCTTCTGGAAACCACCTCTTTATCTTCACTGACATCTGTGTCCAAATCTTTTACCTTCCTTGAGATATTTCTCCAGAATCTTTTTCTCCAGACCAGGTGCTGGCCAGGCTGCCTGGGCTGTGTGTGGATATGAGCTTTGCATGGAGCAACATGGCATTTTCAGTTGCAGATGATGTGGTTCAACAGCATCCTCTCTCCCAGCTTCTTTAGCATGGAAACGTGCACATGTGCTGTGAAGGATTTAGTCTGCTGCACAAATATAACTCCCCTTGCTGCAGAACTGTGTTCAAGTGAATGCAGAACCTTAATTTTGTTGCTTTTTCCCTTTGCTTTTTTTATAGTTCAGTGCAGAAAGAAAAAATAGAATTAGTTTGATTCCACAACTTGTCCTGTGGCAGCTGCCTGAAGGCCAGTACACTGGCTGTATATACATGTTACTTGTTTCCTGCTAAAAACTTACTGCAATAAACATCACAAAATAAAGTGAGGATTTGATGGGTAATCATGTTCTTATCAATGTTTCCCTTAACGTGCACTTAAGCAAGCAATCAATGTGTGCTTGTACTCAGTAGTGCCCCTCTCCATTTAGGTTTCCCCCCAAAACCCACAAATATTAAAAATCCTGACCCACCTTTGTAGAAATCTTTGTGGAACAGGTTATTCCATCTTATCTGCTTGTGCCATACCCTTTAGTCTCTTTACAGGAGTCATGTCCTGTTCTCTCATTCCTTACTGTGGCTCCAGAACCAAATCAATGCTTTCTTAGAGATTTTCTTGCAGGCTGAAAACTTGTAGCCTGTTTTTAGATCTTCAGAACTTTTCTTGTACTGCTGGCCTGGTTGGTAGTAAAAGGCAAAACACATTTATCTTCCTTGAAATGAAACTGATACTCTCTGATTATGTGCATTTCCATGCAATTTCCTGCTTTTCAGGTGCAACTTCTTTGGTTTAGCTACCAAAGAGAATTCAGTCCCTTACCCTGTGCAAAAGCAAAGCTGTTTTGTTTTAGGAGCTTGCATGAACATCCAGGCTAAATAGGAGTGAATTTCTGGTTCTGAAACTTTTATAGATGGCAAAGAATAGAGATGAGCCATGTTCTTCTTTGTTGAACTGTTGGTATTGGAGTTACTGGTCTTGTAAGCCCTGTGAGAGGAATGTTGATCTCATATATTTCTTTAAATACAGGAGGAAACTCATGTTTGATCACACAGGTTGGTGCCTGTGGAGCTTGTTGAGAGGGTTCTGAAGGGCTTCTCTGAGCACTTTTTTGGTCTCAATTTTCCATTGGCAAGTGAAGGGTGTTGCTGTGGGGAGAAAGAGAAGAGCTGAGGTTCCTTGCATTTGTGATTGGGAGCGTTCTGTGGTCTTGTTCAGAGCATGAGAGGAAGGAATGTTTGCTTTCTCATTTATATTGGAAAACAGTGGCTGTTCCAATAAAATTGAAAATGTGCATCTCATGTGTAAATGAATTTTCTTGGTTATACTCTTCTGCTGGGGAGTTATTTCTCTTAGGTTTCTGCTGTCCCCCTTTCTCTGTGCATGGTGTAGCCTCCTGGTCTTAGTATTTATAGGTATGTCCACATCTCTTCTTTCATCTTTGGTTTGTATCTATGTTATAAAATTTTGCTTTACCTATTTTCCTCCTGATTTTTATTGCTGCCTAAGGTTTTTTTTTGGTCGTATTTTCTTTTTCTCTTCTATTGTGCGAGAAGAAAATGTCTCTCACATGCCACTTCTTACAGCTTCCTGCCTTAATTTTAACTTAACTTTAGAAGACCTCTCCCCTTTGCCACTCCGTACAACCACTTCTGAAAATCCCCAGTGTGTGTCAGAAGCCACTCACTTTACCAGAATTTAGGTGCTTTTTCTAGTATCCACTTTTAGAGATGACCGTAACAATTAGATCAGAACAGTGTAGTCAGAGATTAAGTTGTGTGGGCTTTCAGAATGTGTTCATATACAACAAATAAATATCTTCTTACCTGATCCTTGTCACACTCACACTTGCTATAAGTACAACATTCTGATAGTTTGGCTTCTCTTTCTCCAACCTTCAGAAAATGTAATACTCACTTCATTACTTTTCTTTTTTGAATGCTGCAAAACCACTTGAATTTCTCAGAGACTGAAAAAATGCACCTGTTTGTGTTTCATTTAGCAAATCTTTATTTAAAAGAATGAATGCTGCAGCAGAACTCTGTCAAGTGAGTAATGAACTAAACTTGTACCTGACTGCACCTCTGCATAGGTGATCCGGAAAGGCTGGCTCACCATCAACAACATTGGCATCATGAAAGGAGGATCCAAGGAATACTGGTTCGTGCTGACTGCAGAGAGCTTGTCCTGGTATAAAGATGATGAGGTAAGGAATGAAGAACTTTTTTTTCTATTGGGAAAAACCCCAGTATTAATACGGTGTTCTGATACCAACTTGAAATATTTAATCAGTTTGCGTAGACTTGAAGGGAAAGATTGTTTTAAGGTTTTAGCTGTTTTCTTTACATTTCTGGTTTGATTCATGGAGAATGCTGACTGTCTAAGACTTCTGTTGAAATGCTGATAACAAACACAGGGTGTGGTGTCGGGTATTTTTGTTTGTTTTACTTTTTTCTTCTCTTCCTGTGATTTCCACACATTTCTTTTAAAAAGGAAAAAATCCCAGATGTTTTGAAATACTCTGCTTGTTTTCCTATCCTTCCTTTGGTTGCTCTTATACATCTACTGCAAGTTGATCATAAACTGTCTGGGTAAATTTACTCCTGAAAGTAACTACAGCAACTGATTTAATGAAAACAGCTGTTCTCCAGAGGATGAAAAGCCCATCTGCAGAGTTCTCTCTAGCTGATTGGTGTGGATTTTCAGATATGACAAAAAATGCACCTTCTTGGGTGATCAGTAAATCTGAGGTGAGCGATGTGGAAATAAAGAAAAGGACATCCACATTGCTCACTTTGAATATATTGTTGGGAAGCTTGTCTGTTCTGTTTAATGACTTTTTCAACAGTGTGTGTAATGATACATTTTATCCATGACTCCAGCAGTATTTTGAAGGTTGAAACAGGATTATGTGGGCTGTCAGATCTGTGGTAAAGCCTTTGTGAGTTTTTTTTTAAGGTTTGTGTTGGTATTTGTACAAAAACAGGGCTACATTTAAAAAAACCCTATTATTTCCTATTTGTGTTGTTCCCTCCCCCCCTTTTTAAAAACAAAATTGAAATGTTTTTAGTAAGAAATTATTGATTTTTAGGGTGAACCAGTTCAGTGGATGGAAGAAGCACACTCTAAATGAGTTCTAAAGCATCACGCAACCTTTTCATCTTTTTCTAAGTAATAATCAATTACTGGTTGATCTCAACAAAACAGGTTGATGGGGACTGTGCAAATTCATACTCTCTTTAAACTACCATGGTGTTTTACTGCAGTGGAATCTCTGGAAACCCTGGGGAGAGGACCTGCAGTGCATAAGGCAGAGTCCTGCAAATCCTGGATGTAGAACTCCTTCAGTAATGCTGCTGGGGTGGGAACTGTGCTACTCAGAAGAGGTTTTTTTCCCCCCAGTCCGTAGCCATGTCAGGATACACCTTAAGGCAGAGGGGAAAAGTAGGTTAATTTTGAGGATTTTGCCCCTTTCCCTTTTATTTAAGTTTTAAAGGGATTCAAATTCAACATAACAGGAAAACCAGTGCATGTCAGGCAGAGGGGAGGAGCCAAGGGACAGGTGTCAAGAGGGGAAATTTTACTCTCAGATTGCTGAAGTAGAACTTGAAAAAAATGCAAAAGTGACTTTATGAATTTGCAAATTTGAAGCTGTTCTTTTCTGTGATCTGCTTTGAAGTTATTAGAACTGGCTTTCTTAGGTAAGATACAGGCAACTGTAACTAAAACAAGCAATGTGACAAAACCAACACACCTGGTGTGTTTTATCTCAAGCAGTTGGAAGTGCATCCAAGATGAGCTGTGGTAATATTTTTAGGTAGTTTTGGTGTTGTTTTTTTAAATCTGATTTTTGTTTAGTGGGAAATAAAAAAATTACTGAAAATCCTAATGGTACATCTTGTGCTGTGCAACTTTAAAAAGAAATAGTTTTGACAATCTGCTGGGGAAAGTCACTTGGGAAGCTCATGAAAGTACTCAGAAAGAAATGGCCACTGTGTCATTTCCATATGCATATTTTAAGATAATGTCTCTTAATTACCAAACAGTTATGTTTTGAGAGTCATGAAAATGTCAGTAGTTAATTCAGGCCATGGGAGATCACTTAGGAATTTCTTAGAGTGGTAAGAAGATAATTGCACAGGATAATAGCAGAGTACTATTCCATGCTCTGCTGGTGAAGGAAGATGCTCCTTAAGTAGAGTTTATAAAGTTATTAATTTTGTGTTTGTTTGGTTTTTGTTTTGGCTTGTTTTTTTGTTTCGGCTTTTTTGTTTTTGTTTATTTGTTTTTTGTTTTGTGTTTTAGGGTTTTTTTTGTACTGGACCTTCTCAGTAAGACTGAAGAATCAGTCAGGCTCCTCAGCTGCTGGCTGGAGTGGCTGTGTGGGGGTGTTTCCCCCCAGTGAGCTGCAGTCTGGTGATGTGAGAAGTGATGGCTGTGTTTGTGTGTCTGGCTGTGCCCTGCGAGGTCGTGGGGAGCTCAGAGCCCCCAGCCCCTGCTCGGACTGGCCAGGAGCCTTGTCCTGGCAGCTGGGGAAGGTGCAGGGCAGCTCTCACCTGGCTTGCCTTGCCATGCTGAGGAGTTTGTGCCCTCTGTGCCTGTAGCCAGTGCTGCAGCAGCTGTGTACCAGAGAGCTCTGACAATGTGCTTTGCAAAGCTCCAGTGCCTGCTGGGGCCTCCAGGCTGTGTACCCCCTCTAGTGTAAGCTGAGCCTGTTTCTAGTCTGGAATTTGCTCTGAGATCAAAATCACTAGTGGTGGCTCGCTAGTGCCGTTAGAAGGATGTAAATTCCTTTGTGAGGTGCAGCTTTATAAGTGATAAATCCACAGTGCAATGTATTTAGAGGCAAGCTGCTATGGCAAAAGATTTCAGATTTTCCTGTATGATGTCAGTATCAGAAAAGAAACAATTGTTTTCTTCACACAGTTTTGTTTGTGAAACATAGACCAGGATTTTCCTCCTGATGAGAGGGATTCAGTGCCTAAGAATGCATTTTTAGGCTTGCAGGTTGACGTTTGAACAGTGTGCTCAGAGCAGTTACAGTATTGGTTCTGGGAGAACTGACATGGATTAGTTTCTGATCCTGCAGGCAGTTGCTTCTGTTTGTAACTTTGCTGTGTGACCAGTACCACGACTTTGTGCTTTTCTACTTAAAGACCAAGCAAGGGAAGTGCTGTGTACTGCCTTTGAGGCTGCTGTAAACAAGATCAGCACGCTCTGTGACCTCACAAATAGAGATTTATTTTGTAGAGTATTCCATGTAATCCTAGCTGAAGCATTACAAGGCACACCTACAGATACAAATCTGAGCATTTAAATCTGAGCATTTTACTTCTCAGTAGTTACTGCTTTGTTAAGTAGCATTAACTAAGGTTCATTTCAGAGTCAACTTGCAAATCTGAAGTTTGTGAATTAGCCACTCCTGCATTAGGATGAAATGGACTTTGGAATGTGGGATGTCATTCTAGCTTGTGAATAAAAAACCTCTTTACTGTAAAGATATGGATGCCGTTTGTAAAGTGGTGTAACATTGTTATAGTGCATGGTCATAGAATGTGATTTTATTATTCTTTCTAAAGCAGCCAGAGATGTCACTGGCATTGTTGCTGTGCAAAGATGCCAAGCTGGACTCTAGGCTTAGAATTTCTAAAAATGTGAAATTTACATTGATGGGGAAAAAAATCTCCTGTAGTCTTGTTTCCAAAGAAAATATTTCCATTCTGTTTCAATAGTAAACGATATTATTGTTAACATCCAGTGATGGATGCAGTTTGTATTATAATTTCACAGTTTGTTTCTAGTTGTAAAATGATGTGAGATTTGAGAGCAAACTTACAAAAATAAGGGAGGAGGTGAGAAAATGGAAAAGGGAGAAGATCCTCTAAGATCTGATGTTGTGTATGTTTGCAGAATGAGCTTGCCACACAATCAGCTGCTCTTGGCTTCTGTGGCGAGCAGGAACGTCAGGGAGTTTTGTACAGCAGGAATTGAGCGGTGCCTGGGAAGCAAACGGGAGCACGGAACGTACGGAGGTGCCGCAGGGCTGCGGATAAATCCAACTTACTGTTAGTGAGCTCCTGAGAACAACTAGGAAAAGAGTACTATAGGAAGCACAGTACGAATTTCAGCAGTGGGTTTTATTGTAGTTGACAGGCAGTGCTGCTTGGACTCTGGGCTTGGTGACTGACCGGCCGTCTGAGGTCCAGAGGACTCCTGGCTGGAGCTGGTGCTGCAGATGCTCTGGGCTGGCAGAGCAGGGTCCCACTGGCGGCTGTCCCTCAGGCTGGGTTGTCATGCGACTGCCTGTCTGTGCCTGCTGTACAGGTGAGAGGATGTTCTGCACAGCAAGTGTAGACAGGCAGACACATGACAACTCCGTCCAGCCAGTCCCTTGGAGCCATCGCCGCTGCTGTGCAACACTTTGTGCCAGTCCACTTTGGGGGGCGTTTGTTGGGGGGAACACACATAACAGAATTAAACTTTAAAACATTGGCAGCTGCAGAACAAGAACAGAACTTGATTTTATTCAGAAAAGAAGCTCGGTACATGAGTTATCATTGTGCTGACACACATCAGGGATGCAATTTCAACAGACTGCTCACGCTGAACATTTGGAAAGCAAAAAGAACCAAAGCCATGGTTTATTTTGTATGCAATTCGTACAGGGTTTTGCCTGCACATTGTACTCACACATAGTAATTTAACCAGATGTTTTTACTCTTCATGGAAGCACAGAAATACTGAAGTTCAAGATAAAGGATATGTTTATACAGTGCATATTTTCTAGGAGCAGATAAGTACAATAATCTGGGATGTTAAAAATAAAAATCCTTCTGTATAAATGGAGGCTGCAACTTGCACATTAACCCCCTTATAGGGAATGTGCTGGAAAGAAAACTGATGGCATTTTGGATCGATTTTATATTCCTTTTAGTATTTTGGTTTACAAATATATTTATATATTTAAATTTTGCTTTGTCTCAAAATCTGTACTTTCCAACAAAATAATTTAACCTCATAAAACTTCAGTAAGTTCTTTTCAGTCAAATATAGACTATTCTAGAGATCAAAAGCATGCAAGCAAATAGCATCATTTCACATCACAAGATGTGCTGCTTTGCTGAATTCTCTCTATACACTGTCTCTATACACAGTGACTGTAATCCAACTTCGCAGTGACATTTGCACTGTTTCTGGGGTATTGTT